AGAGAGAGAGAGAGAGAGGGAAGGGAGGGGGCCGATCAGAAGAGAGTCAGCATGCGTGGTCCACCGGGCCAAGTCGGGAGCGAAGGTCAGGGAGGTGGAAGCGAGCGCGCGCTGCCCACCTTTCCGGCGACGAGGAGCGAGAGGGCGAGAACGACGCGCTGCTTTGTGTTGAGGTCGCCCTTTGGCCAGATGTGCTGCACGAGCTTCTTGATAATGGTCCAGTCGGCCCTCCGCTGCTCCTTGAGCGTCGTCTTTGGCGCGCGGTTGAGGTTGAGCGGATCGTCGCCGTCTGCCCTTTTCCCCTGCGTCGTCGGCGTGGTCGCTGGCGTTATGGGCTGCTGCTGCTGCTGGGATGGCGGTGGTGCGGTGGCCTGGTTCGAGGTGGTGGTGGGTGCTGGATCGGAACCTGATGCCATGTGACGGAACCCGCGCAGGGTCGTGTGGGTCAGCGGGGAGGGTGCGGGTGCAGGTGCGGGTGCGGGGGACAAGGCGGTGCGGCGTGGGGAGTCTTGCTGCCGGATGCGGTGATCATGGTATCTCCTCCGCGTCAGGGGTGCCGTGGCGGTGTAAAGGTAGGACGACGACGAGGGAAACAAGGGCGAGGATGTGCAGGTAGGTGCGGTACGGCGCAGCGCGGGGAGGGGAAGGCGGGCGCGGGATAGGAGCATCATGGTGGTGGTGGTGGTGGTGTCGAGTGCGCTGATCGAGGCAGCACCAAGGCGAATGCGAGGGGGGAGAAGTAGCGCAAGGGCGGGGGAAACGAGGGTGAGGTGCGTAGTCGCTTTTCGGCGCGGTGGACCAGGCCGGCGCGAGGTAGAGACGAGATAGGATGCGGGGGAGGGGTCGCGGTGGGAGGGATGCCAGAGCGGCACTCGGCGGCGTAGCAAGGGGTCGCTGGTGTTGGCGGGGCGGTGGTGGTGGCGGTGGTGAGGAAGAGGGGAAGCGATGCGGCAGCGAGAAAGACGACGACGAAGACTGTTGGGTCAGCCAATTGATCGTCGAGATGGTGTGCGAGCGACAGAAGCCGCTGCAGCAGCGCCGGCCCAATGTGGAGCAAAGGCCGAAGACGGCCGCTCGCCGCTCGCCGCTCGCCGCCCCGCCGGGGAAAAAGGGGACAAAGAGGCCGCCGCTCCGCCGCCCCGCTGTAGCCTTTGGCTGCCTTGCTTGATGCTTCTTCCTTCGTCTGCTGCTGTCGCTGTTGCTATCGCTGCAACAGTCCTCACAACGCTCGCCTGCCGACCCACGCCCTACAGTACATACAGTAGACCACGATAGAACCTGATCTGGAGCCAAGGTGGAAGAGCGGGCGATGCTATTCCAAAAGGCCAGGGCCGATTCCAACCCCCAACGCCCAATGCCCACCGCGTCCAATCCCTCAGCAAGGTGCCAATGTGCATCACTCTGCCAGAGTTGCATCAGGCTGCGAATGTGGTCCCAGTCGACGTACTGGTGCACGACTCGCGTCCTCCTCACCTCGAGTCGCGGGGGGGGGGGGGGAAACGAGTCACCTTTGCCACCTCGCAACTCTCACGGCGGTGACGGCGACGCGACGACGATGGCGTGTCGCACGGCCAGGATCAAGACTTGGGATGCTCTTTGGATCCTTGCTCAAGCGGATTCAAAGGGGCCGGGCGAGGCCTCGATGGACAGACAGGCAGGGCAGTGATGGGATTGGCGTGGCGTGGCATGGCCTGGCCTGGTGTGGTGCGCGGTGGCGTGGCGAGTAGCGGCTCATGTCGCCGCCGTCGCCGCCGCCGCTACTGCTGCTGCTGAGACCCCGTACGGAGGTAGAAGCATGCAACGACATTGTCCCCCGTAACCTGGCGCGTTCGGAGGCGTGGCATGGCAGGCTGCCGGCACAGCGGAGCACAGCACAGAGTAGTAGTGTCGCTCTCGACCCCCCGTTGCATCAGAGTATGCATGTCTATCGACCAGCGACACCAACGCTACCTACTCCTCGATCTACGAGCTTCGTCCCAGCTCACCCGCAGGAGCAACGACACCCTCCCCCTGCCCCCGCTCCTGCTCCTGCTCCTCCTCCTTTTCCTGCGGCGTCTGCTCCTCGTCGGCGACTGCGGCCAGCTGCGCTTCAGCACGGGCCTTTCGCGCCGCAGCGATCTCCGCCTTGCGCTCCTCGAGCGCCAGCCGCTGCGCCACCTCCTCGGCCTCGAGCTCGCGGAACCGCTGCCGCCGCGCAGCCTGCCTCGCCCGGTGCCGCGCCGCCAGCGCTTCGATCCGTGGCTCCAGCCGCTCCACGAGCAGCCGCTCCAGCGCATGCGCCTGCCCGCGCTTCCGCCGCTGCAGATCCCCAAGGTGCGCAAGAAAGTCAAACATCTCGACCAGCTCCTTGCGCTGCAGCGGCAGAGGCGGGAACTCATCCTCGGGCGACTCGACCGACGACGACGACGACGACGGCGGCGACCCCTCGGCGGATGTCTCGATCTTGCCTCGCCCCTCGCGCCGAGACGTGTCCAGCCGCGCACGCCACGCCTTGGACGCCGCCTCCAGCACCTGGCAGTCGGTCAGCGCCGCCACCAGCGCACGCTCGACCACATCCCGCACCCACCGCAGCTGCGGCACCATCCTCCTCTGCGACGCCACCGAGACAAATGGCGCCAGCATGTTGGCCGTCATGGAAAACGACGAAGGGTTGAGCCCCGGCAGGAAGCTCGGCTCCAGCACCCGGCCGGCCTCGACCGACGGAACGTCGTACGCGCGCTGCGTCGACGGCGACGGCGGCGGCGACGACGACGACGACCCTGCCTCTCCTTGCTCCCACGCCTCGCCCTGACCGCCGAGGGCCGCGTCTTCGACCGTCGTCGCCGTTGTCGGTGCCGGTGCCTCGGCCGCGACGTCCCCACCATCTTGCGCTGTTGTTCCTGCATCTGGGTCGAGACCCGCATCGGCGTCCGGGCTGCGCTCGACAATCGCCATGCCGAGCTGCTTGGCCGTCTCCTCGGTGTGGCGCTGCGTCAAGTCGAGCGCCTCGTCGATCAGGTAGCGCGCAAAGATCATGTAGTCGCCCTGGCTGCGCTTGGCCATCTCGGCCGCGCGCGGACCACCGTCGCTCAGCTCGGCCACCGTCGTCGCAGTCGCCTCCTTGACCAGGTCGCTCATCGTCCGCCCCGCCCCGACGGCAGACTGCGGCCAGACGGCGGGCGAGCGCAGCGGGTCGAGCTCGACGCAGCAGTGCTGGATCAGCACGTCAAACGTCTTGACGCTCGGCTCGAGGGCGTAGGGGTGCAGCCTCCCTGCTGACGCCGCACCCCCGTGCGGATCGGCGACAGAGCTGGCGGTGGCCATGACCGTGGAAGCGCCGCCGTGGCCATCTCCGGCCGGGGCTGCGTCGCTGCCCTGCTCCTCGGAACCGCGCTCCCGCACGCTGCGGATCAGATCCTTCCAGTTTGTGGCAAACAGCCCCTTCTGTCCATCGTCGTCGGCCGCGGCTGCGGAAGAACCCTCCATCGCGTCTCCATCGGCCCCCCGGCGCCGGCGTGGGCCGGACAATCGTCTCGTAGGCGGCGATCATCTCGGGCACCGTGGCCTGCTCGCCCAGCGTCATGAGGACCGTGTTGAGCGTGTGCACAGTGGGCCTCGGAAAGTCGCGATCGCTGCCCGCCGCCGCCGTCGAGCCGGGCGCCGTGAGGTCGATGCCGTAGGCCTGCTTCATCAGCATGTTGAGGCCGTCGAGGTGGCCGGCCAGGCGCAGCGTCCGAGCGGCCAGGTCGCGGGTGAGCTGGTTGGGCTGCACGTCGTGGTCTCGCATGTCCTTGAGCAGCGCCATGGTCCGCAGAGCCGCGAGGATAGCGGCTCCCCGTGCGCTGGGCGCCAGGATCTGCCCGTACTTTGCCAGGCCGCCAGCGGCGGCGCGGGCGGACTTTTCGAGGCTGCGTTTGGTCTTGACGGCCGCCGACGCCTCTGCCTTTTGCACGCGCTCGGTCTGGTCGCTGGCGTGCTTGGTGAGGCCGACCATCAGCTCGCGGTAGGTGGCGCGGTTCGGCACGAGCGGCTGCTCCACTGCCGCGGCGCTGGCGTTGCGCTTGGCGGAGACGCCGGTGAGCTCGTTCCAGAGGTTGGCCATGACGCCAATGTGGCCGCCGAGAGCGAGGCGCGAGAGGACGTGGTTGTAGTCCGAGAGGGTGGGCAGCTGCTGCTGTTCGGGCGACGACGCGGCGCGCGAGAGGCGGCGCATCTCGCGGAAGATGACATTGACCCGGTGCATGTACTCGCGCACGCTGTAGGTGGCGTCAAAGACGCTCTTGGACGAGATCTTGGCGGCGGCCTGGGCGAGCATCTTGCGGTTGAAGCTGTCGAAGAAGGCGACGGAGGCGTCGTGCGCGGCTGCCGAAGGCGCATGGTCCGGGAAGGACGATGGCATCGAGGCGTCGGGTGCGAGTGCGGGAGTGGCCGAGGTCGAGGTCGAGGTCGAGGGCGCCGGGGATGCATCCTGGTCCGAGGTGGCCTCGAGCCTGCGGCGCTTTGCGGTGAGCCTGTGGAGGCGGCGGGCGCGGGCGACGTGCGGGTCGATGGCTCGGAGGACGAGCTGGTGATGGACGGGTTCCAGCTGGTCCATGAGCGAGGCCGTCTCTGTCGACGAGCCGACGCGGGGGATGCTGGCCTCGCGGACGGCATTGTAGGCGCGCCATACGCGATTGGCAGCGACGGGTCGGTGGGTGCTGTAGAGCTCGGTGAGGAGCTTCCTGACGAGCGGGTGCTTGGGTGCGCCCGGGCTGGTGGGTGACCTCCATGCGGCGGCGCGGGGGGAAAAGAAGGACCAGGGTTCGTGATGATTTGCAGCGGGGCGGGATCGGGGTCGAGAGGGGGACCGGGTGGACTGTGCAGGTTGCCGCGATTGGGACGGGGTGGAAGGAGCCGACGAGAGCCTGGCGGATTGTGGGTGTGGCTGTGGTTGCGATGATGGTGGTGATGGTGACGAGTGCGTCGCCGAAGGAGAGAGTGGTGCGCTGTGCTGGGTCATGTGCCTGCGGACCTGCACGGCTGCCAAGCGCGAGAGGAGGGGAGCCGATGGCAGGTCATGGTGGTGGCCGACGACGAGGCGCTGCTTGCTGAAGGCGGGGAGCAGGTTGCGGCGAGAGTAGCAGCGGAGGACCATCTTGCACAAGGGCGTGGGTGCACGGTCGAGGTGCGGGGCTACGGTTCGACTTGCAGGGATAGCCGTCGACTGGGATGACGCGGTAGAAGGAGCGGGCTGCGGCAGGGGCGGCCAGGGCGGGCAAGCCGGGTCGGCAAGAGGTCAAGAGGGACCTGATGACGTGGGGCGGCGAAGCAGGTCGAGCAGGGGGGCGTCTAGCAGCGGAGGTGCATGTCTGATCCGCGGGGTGGCGAATGCACTCTGCAGCAGCGTGATGGCGTCGTGTTCTGCGAGGGAGCGGCGAGAGTGATGGGTTGTTGTGGTGTCGTCGAGGGCGAGGGCGAGGCCGAGGACGAGGACGAGTGTTGGGTGTTGGTGGTGGTGGTGGTGGTGGCCGCCGCCGCGAATGGACCGACCTGGCTGGCGGAGCGGGCGCGGGCGCTGGCGCTGGAGCCCAACCAACCTCGGTCTGAGAAGAAAAAGACGAGCGGGCGCTGGGCACCTAGCCTGGGCCAGGCAGGCCAGGCAGGCCAGGCCAGCTCGACGGCCAGGCGAGGCCCAGCTGGCCCGATATTGTGACATGGCCTGCCTCGGGATTCGGGCGGGCGCCATGGCAGGCCGCAGGCAGTCCCCGCCCACGTCGAGCGAGCCAGCCCAGCTTGATCGGGGGGCAAGGGGGGTGAGGTGGGCGCTCGGCTGTCAAATTTTCGTTTGCTGGTGCGCCTGCCTGTTGCCCGCCTGCCTGTTGCCCGCGTGCGGACCCGCGAGCAGGGTCGACTCACCCGACCCGGTCCACGAGCTCGCCAGGCTCCCGCAGGCCAGCCTGCAAGAAGAACTGGCAGGCAGGCAGCAGAAGAAGAAGAAGAAGAAGAAAAAAAAAATTGAAAGGCGGGCCCGGCGCTGCTGCTGGTGGTGCTGCTCCTCGACGGCGGTGCCTCGATACCGGCTCTGCCCCTCCTGCACCGCTTCAACGACGACAGCAACAGCAACGACGACGACGACGACGACAACGACAACGACGGCTTCTCTACCTCATCGACCTCAGCTGCTCATCGGCCCGCTCCTCTCTCGATCTTGGCTTGTCTCCTCTCTTCTGTCGCCTCTTTGCTCTCCCTCTCGGCCTCTCGAAGCGCACGTCCAGACACCCGGCCCCTTCCCATCCGCCGCGCTGCTCCTCAATCGCGCCCGCAAGCCCACCGAAACGTTCGCTCGTATCTCGGTGCTCCATACACTCTCTCCGCCGGCTCAGCAGACCCCGTCTCTGGTCCCCACTCGGCCCCAGCACACCACTCGACACCCACGCTCGCTCGCCATCACCCACGCCTGCCCGTCGCCCATCACCACTGCACCACCACCTGCAAAGCTTTCTCGGCCCCTCGACGTCCCTCGCCTCGCCTTCTCCACCGCACACCGCCGCCGTAGGCCTGTCTCGCAGCCCTACGCCTCAACAACAACACATCGGCCAGGCATGGCTGCCACCCTGTTCCAGGCCTGCCAGCAGGGCAAGCTCGCCGCCGTCACAGAGATTCTCGAGGAAAACAAACCCGAGCTCGAGGCAAAAGGTGCGTCGACGTCGTCCTCGAGCGGCACACCCTCGCCACACATCCTCCCGCCGCCGCCGCCGCCGCCGCTGCTGCTACGTCGCAGGATGCCATCGCTCACTCTCCGTCATCCGTCTCCTCCCTTGCCCCCCCCCCCCCCCCCACCACTCGCCCTCGCCACGCCCAGATGCACACGGAATGACGGCGCTCATGTACGCCGCGCAGGCCGGCCACGTCGCCATCGTCCAGGAGCTCCTCTCGCGCGGCGCCACGCCCGACGAGGCCGCCAGCCACAACTTTGCAAAGGACAACGCCGAAATCGCCAGCATGCTCTCGTCGGCCGTACACAACAGCGTCGCCGCCGCCTCCTCGCCCTCCGATGCGGTCCCGCAGGCATCCTACGACTCCTACGGCGGCGGACAACCCATGGCCGACGGCTCCGTCAGCTACGTCCAGCAGAACGGCATCCACCCGGCCCACGCAGCGGGCGACGCGGCCGCCATGGCACCACACCAGCTGCACCACCAGCAGCCCTACCCCTACCACCCCCAGCAGCACCACCAGCACCAGCACCAGCACCAGCACCAGCACCAGCACCAGCACCCTCACCAGCACCACCACCTCCACCACCCCAACTCGCAGCCGCCGCCGCCATCCTTCTTCGACCCCACCCAGATGTCCGACCCGCCGCGCGGACACGCCCACAAGGACAGCTCCTCTGCCAACCTTCCGCCGCCCGACGTTGCCCGCCTGATCCCGTGCAAGTTTTTCCCAAACTGCCGCTACGGCGACAAGTGCCTCTTTGCCCACCCCATCCCGCTCCCCTCGACCTCGGGCGCCGGCCCCGTCTCGCCCGGCCAGGCCCCCGTCTTCTACCCGTCCAACTACGCCTACGCCCCCTACGGCCCGCCGCACCACTTCTACAGCGTGGCGCCCCCCATGCCCATGCAGTACCCGCACGCCGGCGTGCCGCTGCCGCCCCACATGTCGATGCCTCCGCACATGGCCGGCCCGCACGTCTCGGACCACGCTCACCTCGCACAGGCCGACGGCAGCTTCAACCCGGCCTATGCTTCGCAGCACGCGCCATACTACCAGCCCGCCCCGGGCGTCGTTGAGGCCACCGGACCCGCCGCTGCTGTCGAGGCCGACCAGGCTGGCTCCTCGACCGAGCCCTCGGAAGCTGCGCCGCCCGCCGAGTCGAGCCAGGACGCCGCCAAGTCTGTCGTGCCGTCCGACGCGAGCAGCTCGACGCCCGCTGCCGCCGATGCCCTGGTCAACGGCGGTGACGCAGAAGCCAAGGACGCCGCGACGCAGCCGCAGCAGCCTGCGACCGCCGCTGGCGACAACGCGCCGGCGGCTGGCAGCACCAAGCCGCCGGTTCACAGGCGGCAGTCGTTCAACTCGCTCCTGCACCACCACGCCATCCCCTTCCAGCCGAGCCAGGCGCAGCAGCAGCAGCTCAACGGTGACGCCGCGCTGCTCCAGAACGTCGGCCAGCCGCCGTTTGCGCGCGGCGCCAAAGGCCCGAGGCGAGGGGGCGCCTCGCTCGGCGGCAGCTTTGGCCGATCCGAGTTTGGCGGCAGCAACAAGCGCGCCGACCGGCCGGCGTGCTATTTTTTCATCCGCGGCGTGTGCAAGCACGGCGAGGACTGCCGCTTCCCGCACATCCTGCCGGACGGCACCGACGCGCGCGGTCCGAGCAACGGCCGCTCTGGTGGCGCCAGCGGCGATGCCCACCGGTCATCGAACCGTGGTCCCGCTGCCAAGGGCGCTCGCAACGGCCCCAACGGCAACGCTACCGCCTCCGCCGCCGGCGCAGCAGCATCCGCAACGACGGCAGCCAACGGTGCTCCGACGCAGTCGTCCTCTGTCAAGAAAGGTGCCAACGGCGCCGGTGCCGCCTCGGTTGACCAGGGCTCGAGCGCCACGACCACGGGCGCAGGTGCCAGCGCTGCTGCTTCTCATGCTGCTACCACCAACGGTGCTTCCGCCGCCGCTCCCGCCACGAAGGCGTCCTCGACCAAGATCGACTCGGCTCCGGCGGATTCGAAGCCCGCGCAGAGCAGCAGCGATGCCACCACTGCGCCGACCGGCGCCGACAAGGGCCCTGCTGCGGCGGCGTCTACCTCTGCCAAGCCCGCGACCTCGGCCAACGGTGTCAACGGTGCCAACGCGCACAATGCCGGTGGGATGAGCAACCACAATGCACGCCCCGCCAACGGACGATCGTCCAACGGTCGCGGCAACGGTCAGCAGCAGCAGGGCGGCAACCAGGGCGTCAATGGCGGCCACCACCGCAACAAGCCCAACGGCGCCGCTGCGGCCGCGGCGGCGCAGCGCGTGCCCAACTCGGACGACTTCCCCGCCCTCCCCAACGCACCGGGCCCGACCTCGGCCTCGGCCGCTACTGCACCGGCATCTACGACGGGCACCGTCAGCGGCGGAGCGGCAGCGCAACCGGCGCCGCACAAGGCCAACTTTTCCGCCATCCTCTCGGCACCGGCGCCCGTTCGCAAGACGCCCGAGGTCCCCGTCGCCGATGCCACCGCCGTCGCAGTCGCCGCTGCTGCCGAGGTCAACGACAAGGATGTCGGCGAGACGTCGACGTCGACGTCGACGTCGACGCCGCAGCAGCCGCCTGCCAACGACGAGGTCTCTGTCGATGCAGCGGCGTCCTCGCTGTCCAACTGAGCGTCTCCTGCGCTGCGCCGTCCCACCCGCTGCGTGCGCTGGCCTGGCCTGGCCTGCCGTTGACCCTTTACCATGATGGACGCAGACTCGATCCGGCCGTGGCCGCGACCGTGACCGTGGGCCCGCTGATCCTTCGTGCCCATCCGCCGGCCTGCTCTCATATGACCTATCCCATCTCATCCCGTCCCGACCCATTCGACCCGTCTCGTCTCGTCCCGACCCGACTCGACTCGCTACTCGTTTCTTCTCCAGTCTCGCTCGTACTCCCCCCTCGTTCCGTGCCTTGCCGTCCGATCGCTTCCCTTGCTACCGTACCACATCTGTCCCATCAGACCGAAGTGTACTCTCCAGAAATGCAAACAATCGCACACACAATTCATCTCGCACGTTTTTTTTTTTTTTTTTTTTGCAATTCATCTCGGGGTCTGCCTCCCCGAACAACCTGGCTTATCGAGGCCAGGGCATGATTACATGACAACACGGGAGCCGATCAGGGGGGAGGAGGGGGACGCTGCAAACCGAACGCAAAAAAAAGGTTAGCCGCTGCAGCTACTCTCGCGTCACGAGCAAAGACGCAAGGTCAAACTTACCTGGCATTGTGGACTTGGATGCCCGCCGTGGCACTTGTTGCATATGTGGAGGCGCCCACAAACTTCCGGGTTGCCGCAACGACCCTGCTGAAAGTTGCGGCAGATGGCTCTTCGTCTCGGGGGAGCAGCGCCGCGCGCCAGATCTTCCATGACGCGTGTTAGACCGACCACGGCGGGCGTCAGTGACGCGAGGTTCTCGAAACGCTGGTCTGTCTGGTCGGCTCGCTCCTCGAGACTTGTCGTACGGGCCTCGAGGCCGTCGGAGCGTTGCTCTTGAAGGGTCGAGCGCTCCTCGAGTCTTGTGAGTCGTTCGCGGACCTCGGCCTCCGTGTCTGGGCCTTGTATGCGGATCCTACGAGGCGGTGGCTGGTCGGTGGACGAGTCGGATGTACGAGGCCTTCTCCTGTTCGGAATTGAGCCGGGGGGGGGGTCGGGGTGGGCGGCGACCTTGCAGGGCCAGTGAGGCGGGGCATGGGCGGCAACCTCGAGTTTGAAGCTATGGGTCGAGGCTGGTGGTAGGCGAGTGGCGGCGGCTGCGGCGGGTCACTGTTGGGGGGGAGCGGAGACGAGGGAGGGAGAGGAGAGGAGAGAGGGAGGACGGGGTCTGTATGGTGAGTGGGCTGAGCCTCAATGTCGTGCGGGCGAGACATTCGCCGCCACAGGCGGGCGAGTCCAGGGGAGGGGGCCATGGTGGAGCCGAGGGGAGAGAGAGAGAAGGAGAGAGAGAGCTAGAGAGAGAGAGCGAGAGAGAGAGAGGCGAGAGAGAGAGAGGCGAGAGAGAGAGCGAGAGAGCGCTAGAGAGAGAGAGAGAGCGAGAGAGAGAGAGAGCGCTAGAGAGAGAGAGCGAGCGAGAGAGAGAGAAAGCGCTAGAGAGAGAGAGAGCTAGAGAGAGGGTGAGAGGAG